ATTCCTCTCTTGCCATATTCTATAAATTGAGATAATTATTTTGCTGTTATAATATTGTTTGAGCTTGGGATTTGATTTTATTTTCCTCTCTTGCCTTGTTCTATGAGTTGTCATATTCAAATTGATTTACTTTGTTATATCTATTTTTCTTGCTCTAATTCTTTTGAGCATGGGATTTGTTTTTGTTTTCCTCTCTTGCCTTATTCTATGAATTGGGATTTTAAAATTGGTCGGTTTTGCCTGATTTGCTTTTTTTTTTTTGTTGTCTTCCAAGTTTTTTGAGCTTGTGATTCCTTATTGGTTTCCTATATTGCGTTATTCTATGAATTGAGAATTTTAAATTTGGTAGGTTTTGCTTGATTTGTTTTTTTTAAATTTTTTTTTGGTTATGTTCATAAGAATAACGAGTTAAGATTCGTATAGCTGATCTCAATCAGTTGGGAAAAAGACCTTGACGATGATGATGATGGTTATGTTGGTAAGTCAATTGATTTTATTCTTAGAAATAAAAGGGGGAATGTGTAGTGATTCAGCTGAATTTCTCTCTCTAACATGCTGTGGTAATAAAAATTTAAGGCCTTTTTGGATTTTTTAATGAAGCTCTTAATTATATGTTACAAGCATAGTTAACAAGTCGGAGAATAATATATCGGCATATCGAAACATTGGTAATAGATCGATTTTATTTTAAAAAGTCAGAAGAAAAAATCATGTAAAAAATACAAATTACCCAAAAATAAGGTAAGTTATAGAATCACGAATATTTCAAACTTGGCTAAAAAAAGCAGAGTATCTTGGATATGTAAAAATGACACAAGTATGATTATAATTTGCGATTACTGTATAGATATTGTTGAATTTGGTGCTATCCAAAATCACCCACATAAGGAAATATGTGGGATTGAGATATTCCCATATCATGTGTAATTGAGATATTTCCTTATTATGTGATATTGATGTTGATATTTGATAAGTTTTGTAAAGAAAATAGAAATCCAAAAAGATTAAGACTCTTGGATATATCTTTTGGTTTTGAGATATATATAAGATCTATAAGAAGTTTCTTATGTATAGAGAAAAGAGAGTTTACTATAGAGAGAAATATTGTCATGATGTATTTTGTAGACTCCTCAATATTGAAAGGCTTGTTTCTTGTAGATAAGCGGTTTTTTTGGAGATTTTGGGTTGTTTTTCCTTTTAGTTAGAGAGAAGTCATTGTGCTCGTGTCTTTATCTGGTGATGTTATTAATGGTTAATGGTTGCCCCAACTTGGGTTTTTGTCGAAGTTAGAGAAGTAACTCTTCGTTCGAAAGTCTTTGATATAACTTTCATTGACATAGTGGATTTCAGTTTGCGGTACCAGTGGATGTAGCCCTTTTTGGGTGAACGACGTAAATATTTGTATTTTTGTGGTACGTGTTTCATGTTTTATTTCTCATACTTTATTTGTAAAAAATCAACCCATTGGGTTTAGAGCTTTCGCTCACAATAGATACATTAAAACCATTGAATAATAATTTTAGGACACAGTTTTTTTGAGTCCATGCAAAAATGAGTCACCTATTAAAAATCTATTTTTGAGATGGGTTTTTTGGGCTTAATTTTTAAGGACATGTCCTCACTAAGGATAACCAGGATGGACAACCAGAAGTTATGTAGCTGACCCCAATTAATTAATAAAATGCTAAAATGATGATGATGGATTTTTAAGGACATGTAATCCCTAACATGGAGATCATGAGTATGAATAAATAAAATAAATTTTAAAAATTAAAAATAATAATTCTATTAAGAAAATATTTGGACCGTTAATTTCAATTGTTTTTAGATAGACTACCTATTGCATCCATCTTTAAGATGGATGCTTTATACCTTGGGACCACATTTTGTAGAAATGCGGTTTTAGAGTAATAATGAATAATTTTTGGCCAAAGCTCTCAATAAATCCAACAATGCTTACTATGTTGTTACAACACAAAACATATAATAGATTTATTGGGGGTATAAAATGAAACAACAACGACGACAATACTAAAAGCAAGAACTACATGAGTAAATAACAAGAACTGTATATCAAGGTATAGGATTAGTGTTCATAAAAAAATAAAAAAGACAGTAAGTATGGGATTGTAGTTAACTAAAATAAAACACAAACATCTAAATACATAAAATAGTGGTCCATTCAAAATGCTATGTTATATACACCAATGAAATAAAAAATGAAAATAATCTAACTTCTCTATGGACAAAGAAAGCATCAAAATGCTAAAGAAAAGTCAAATCTCATAATGAATTCCTAACTGCCTAAATCTTTAGTATCATTAAATCCCTCCCTTGCTCTTTATTAGGACACTTTAGGTTTTAAGAGAAAAACAAAAAGAAGGGATTTTTTATTGAGTTACTCTCTTTTTAACTCTACATACTATTGTGAGATATAGGATTATTTTGATATCTTACTTTTTTGGAAATACATTGCT